CCCAAATTCAAAGGTCTCTGCAAAATCAACCTCGTTTTTCAACTTCTTTTTCACTTTTATATCACTATTTTTTTCATGTTGTTGTTGTTAAGTGCTGTTGAGTCATAGCGACCCTGTATAGGGTTTCCAAGGAGCAGCTGGTGAGCTTGAACCACCAACCTTGTAGTTCATATGGCTTTGCAGTCTGGTGTATAAACCCACAGCGCCACACCAGGACTCCATAAGTGTAAGTGTTTGTTGTTATTTTTATATTGACACATTTCATTGACCTTATTTTGTAGGATCACCATTTATTTATCTGGGCTCTATGGGAAAATTTAGGGCCATCTGGCTGCAAGATCTGTCACCCCATTGATCACCAGAGCTAATTCAGCTGATCTAGATTGCTAGGACATGTCAGTTTCCTCCCTCACTACTCCATGTGTGTCCCTCCTTAAAGGAGCCCTGGTGGACCTAAGGGTTAAACTTTGAACTGCTAACCTCAAAATTGGTAGCTCAAACCTACCAACCACTCAAGATAAAGATGACACTGTCTGTTCTCATAAAAATTTAGTCTGGGAAACCTCATATCATATCACTATGAGACAGAATTGACTCAACTGCAGTGGGTTGGGATTTTGGGTAAGGGAGTAGAAAGCTGAATAAAATCCAGTCTTCATTCTGCTAACTTGAAAAAGACAGTCATCAACACCTCTAATTACTCACACCAAGGTTCCATACCATAATGGTAAGGCACACTTCTCCAAGTATGCGGGGAAAGGAAAATTTAAATATGGTTAAAGCAATTCAAGAAATAAAAATTTAAATAATGCTTCAGCAAATATCCTATAATCAAAATAGAAATCCCACCTTCTAAAATTGTTACTTTTTCCGATCCCTCTTGCCCTTGCGGGGGCGGGGAGAAGAGGAAGGGGGGTGGTCTAAAGAATTAGTCCCACCCAGTTGCCACTTCTCAGTTACACACGAATAACCTCCAGCAACTCTAAAGCAAGCCCCCAGCCCATTCTGTGCTCAGTAACTTTCTCCTGCCTCACTGCAAAACAAGTTTGGGCAGGCACCATTTTGCTCATTGTCCAATTTCTCTTTGAGTCCTTATTGTCTTAACTGTTTCTTAGAAAGCTGTGAGCTTTCTCATTTCAGGAACCTACCTTAACACATATTTGCTCAGAGCCAGTTTGCTGAGTAAATGTGAGGGAAAGAGGGAAAAGTTCTGATAAAAAAATGAAAGAGGGATAAGTTCTGATCAAAGAATGTTTTCTTTTTAAAACTGTGCTTGTTATGCCACAAATAAAAGCCATTAAATCCCTTTAACAATCCTTATATACTTTCATATTGCTGTTAAGTGCTAAAGTGGGTTCCGACTCAGTGACCCTTTAGGTTTCCTTAGAAGGGCTGGTGAATTTGAACCACTGACCTTTCAGTTCAACCTACCTTGAGGTGGAGTAGGTACTCCACCTACAGCACCACACCAGTACATGCTTTTACATTAAGTTCTCTTAATTAACGGTTTTCTCATCTTCATGCAACTAGTTAGGATGGGATTGAGGAGTGCTAAATTGCATGGAGATGAGAAACATTTAACTCAGCATGATGGTTTAAGAGTTGCCTTCCAGCAAAGTTATTGACATTTTGAGATGCGGAGTGTTGTGGGTTTGCTGCAGTTTGGAGAGCAATAGGAACACTTAACAGTAGTTAGGAGTTCTGCCGCCTTCCTTCACTAGTCATACCTGCAAATCCCGTCTCCCGCTCCAGCTCTTTTGCAATGCCTATAATTAACCAGCAGTTTGGTCCTCAGAACCTAGAACTATTCGCAGAATCGTAAGACTTTTATATCTGATCATAGCCCAATCTAAAGTCAAGGATGTTATTTACATTATGTCTAGATACTGAAGAATGGATACAGTGACAAGCTCTTCCTTTGAAAATGTGGATGGCTCTTAAAAGAGCCTTTGGGGTTAGATGTAAAGACGCCTCGTTGACACCAATTATTTGGAGCTGGTGTACTTGGTGACGGCCTTAGTGCCCTCTGATACGGCGTGCTTGGCCAGCTCCCCGGGTAGCAGCAGGCGCACGGCGGTCTGGATCTCCCGAGATGTGATGGTCGAGCGCTTGTTGTAATGAGCCAGGCGAGACGCCTCGCTCGCGATGCGCTCAAAGATGTCGTTGACAAAGGAGTTCATGATACCCATGGCCTTGGACGAGATGCCGGTATCAGGATGAACCTGTTTCAGCACCTTGTAGACATAGACCGAGTAGCTCTCCTTGCGGCTGCGCTTGCGCTTCTTGCCATCTTTCTTCTGGACCTTTGTAATGGCCTTCTTCGAGCCCTTCTTAGGAGCGGGAGCTGATTTGGCGGGTTCCGGCATGGCGGAAGAGGGAAAATAACAAGCTGAAAGCACAATGTGACCGTTGCTGGCGCTGTGTGTCCTCTTTACTTATAGACGTTTATGCAAATTAGGTGACGAGAGGAACTCTCGTCACTGGTGTGTCCTGAGATGACAGCATATGCCAGCTTTCTCCAATCAAAATACGGAGTCTACAAATTCGTGTTTTCATTGGTCTAAAATAAAATAAAATATTGACCAATGGTACGACTCTCTTTTCGCGCCCGGCAGTAGCTATAAAGTACGTTTTAGAGGTTGTCATTTTGGTCGCTGAAGATAGCAAATAGGTAACCATGTCTGGACGTGGCAAGCAGGGTGGCAAGGCACGCGCTAAGGCTAAGACTCGGTCTTCCCGAGCTGGTCTTCAGTTCCCTGTAGGCCGTGTGCATCGCCTACTTCGCAAGGGTAACTATGCCGAGCGTGTTGGGGCTGGCGCTCCCGTGTACCTAGCGGCGGTGCTGGAGTATTTGACCGCTGAGATCCTGGAGCTCGCCGGCAATGCGGCCCGCGACAACAAGAAGACGCGCATCATCCCCCGCCATCTGCAGCTGGCTATCCGCAACGACGAAGAGCTCAACAAGCTACTGGGCAAAGTCACCATTGCGCAGGGTGGCGTCTTGCCCAATATCCAGGCCGTGCTGCTGCCGAAAAAGACCGAGAGCCATCACAAGACCAAGTAAGGAGCAAGACTGAATTTTAAAAATCAAAAGGCTCTTTTCAGAGCCACTTCTGAAATCATAAAAGAAGGTGACACGATCTATTGCATACTCAACTATAAGTTAGTCCTGCCAAACACATTGTTAATGTAGTGGTTACGACTCGGGCTAATTTTACAGTCAACAATTCGAAAACTACCAGCCGTTCCACGGGAGAAAAATAAGGCTTTCTGCTCCCGTAAAGATTTGTAGCCTCAGGGTCGCTGTGAGCCGGAACCGACTCAGACCCAGCATAAGTTTTGCAAAGAGCGGCTGGTAAGCTTAAACCGCTGACCTTGGGGTTCAAACCCACCTTGCAGTCCAGTGCTTTACCTCAGCGCCACACCAGGACTCTGATAGGTGGCTTAACGCTGTGTGTTAAGGTCCTGAACTGGAAACTTTGAACCACAAGGTTGATTCAAGCTCTCCACCGGCCGCTCCTTGGAAGCACTATTACAGGGTCGCTGTAGGTTGGAACTGACTCGACACTTACCAGCAATATTAATAGACTTAACATTGTACTTTTAAAATTGTGATATACTTTAGATTAAGAAAGAAAGCTACTGATGAAAGAAAGCATTAGAAATCAAATAAGCACCTTTCAAACGTGTATACATTTTGTATAGGAGCCCAGTAATCACATGTATGCGTTAATGAGTCACTGAAATATCTTTATTTTATATTAAGTGTATTCTGATGGTTTTCTTCTGTTCTACTTGTAAGGGCAGTTTTGTTTTAAACTTGTATGACAGTTTGGTGGGCCATTTATTTGGGGCCTTGCAAAATATCCAGGGAGTTGCAAAAATTGAATTCTAATGAGCTCATGTGGCCATGTAGGAGATAAGCACTTGACTTGCCAACCCATAAGGCTAGAGGCTGTAGCACACCAGCCACTTCTAAGAAACCCTACCAGGGCTACTGAATACTCAACCGCACTTGACAAAAAGTGCTTATGCATTCAATACTCAGCGTTCCCATATTATGCGCCAAAAGTGCATGACAGTGCCTGTGCCTAAGAAATCTATTGGGGAAACCTATTGGAGAAACAGAAACGCAAAGAACAATGTATCTCAAGTAACCAAGGAAACAGTCCTTTTCAAGAGTTTGTGGGTGGCTCTGAAAAGAGCCTTTGGAAAAGCGAATTTAGGAGACTTATGCCCTCTCGCCACGGATTCGGCGGGCCAGTTGGATATCCTTGGGCATGATGGTGACACGCTTGGCGTGAATGGCACACAAGTTGGTGTCCTCGAAGAGCCCCACCAGATAGGCCTCGCACGCCTCCTGCAGCGCCATCACGGCTGAGCTCTGGAAGCGCAGATCGGTTTTGAAGTCCTGCGCGATTTCGCGCACCAGCCTCTGAAACGGCAACTTGCGGATTAGCAGTTCGGTGGACTTCTGGTAACGCCGGATCTCGCGCAGCGCCACGGTACCAGGCCTGTAGCGATGCGGCTTCTTCACGCCGCCAGTGGCTGGCGCGCTCTTCCTAGCCGCTTTAGTGGCTAGCTGCTTTCTCGGGGCTTTGCCGCCGGTGGACTTACGTGCAGTCTGCTTAGTTCTAGCCATAGCTCTACCGCTTGACTTACCAACCAGCAACAAGAAGAGAAAGCTGTAAAGCCTCTTATTTATAGTAAGAGTAAGAAGCTGATTGGATAAAAGGAAACCGAGACGACCCTTCCTGTAACTGGATTGGTTATGAACTCGGGGTTTTGATTTGCTCCACTCCAAACCCTCTGGTATTCTTTATTGTGCATGCTCTGAATTTTTTTTTTTTTTTTTTCTTTTCTGCCAACTTGTTCGTTATATCAGCGCTTTCAAATAGAATTAAATATAAGCTATATAAAATTACATTTACTAATATGTATTAAATTACCATATTTTTAAAGATAAAATTAATTTACTAGTATTATATTTAACCCAATGTAACAAACACGATTATTTAAGCATACAACCAATGTAAAAATTAGTTTGATATTTCCCATTCGTGGATTCTTTTTGTTTGAGAATTTGGTTTTGCACTGTCTTTGAATTCCAGTGTGTACTGTTGTTAAACTACTGAAGAGTGGATTCTGACTCATGACCCTGTATAGGGTTTCCAAGGAGCAGCTGATAGATTTGAACTGCCTACCTTGTGGTTACGAATCGGGCTGCGAACCACAAGGTCAGCAGTGCGAAACTACCAGCTGTTCGGCGGGAGAAAGATGAGGCTTTCTGCTCCCGTAAAGATTTACAGCCTCGGAAACCCTGTACAGGGTCGCTATGAGTCGGAACCGACTCCACGGCACATAACAACAACAACACAAACCTTGTGGTTCAATTCTGATCCTATAGCTAGCTCCACACAATAGAATAATACCACATCTTTATTTGGACTAGCCACATTTCAACTCAATTTACAAGTGACTAACAAAGGAGCTCTGGTAGCGTAGTAGTTACGAATCGGGCTGTGAACCTTAAGGTCAGCGGTTCGAAACTACCAGCCGCTCCGACTCGAAGGCACTTAACAACATATGATGGAGTCCTGGTGTGGCGCTGTGGGTTAATGCTCAAAGCCGGTTGAACTGCAAAAAGCCGGCAGTTCAAGCTCACCAGCTGCTCCTCGGAAGCCCTATACAGATTCGCTATGGGTCAGAATCGACTCGACGGCACTTGACAACAACATATTGGATAGCACATTTTTGTTTTTTGTTTTTTCCCCAGCAGAAAAAATTAATTTGAGATATGAGGAATTCTAAGAACTAATAACTTCATAAAGAAACGCAACTTAACCTTGTTTTCACTTTCAGATAATATTAAAATAATCTCTTTATAGCATTGTTCCTACTATCCTAAAAATATTATACATTTGTTCCTGAATGTATTCCATCAGTGCATCAAGATCTAACATTTTGAGTAAAATTAAGCAGAATATACATTAGCATGTACTATCCTGGAAAAAAAAAATAGGTAACTAAAACTTTATTTTAAAACTTCCATTTGTTTGTGGATAGGGTAAAGAGAATTCAGAAAAATGCTTGAGAAAAAAAATATTAAAGCAGACAGTTGTTATAACCTATCCTCAACTGTCACAGGCTCACTACAAGGCAGTTTCTTTTTCTTCCAGTAAAACTTTTATTTGCAAAAGTAGGCAGCACCCAGAGAAACAGAGATGCCTGAGATAGAGACGGAGATGATGACGTGGAGTGATGAAGTGACTGGGGACTTTGGGCCCAGAGAGGGAAAGGGACTGTGGGCCGAAAACTGGGGGGAGGAGGGGGAAGTGTAGGGGGCGGGTTTCTGGGATATATACCCTTTGGGTGGTTGATGATGCATGGAGGGGAGTGGAACCATGGCAATGAGATGATATACGATGGAATGAATGTAAAACTAAAGTTCTCCCATGTAAACTATCATATAATTCACAATAAAACATTTAAAAAAAAAAAAAAAAGTAGGCAGCAGGACAGATTTCATGGCTAATATACTGACTTTTGCCATCATGACAGGAGATGACCTGGCTGCTCTGGGGACTGTGGCCCAGTCACTCCTCAGAGCCACTCTAGGGTAGGTAGGTCCTGTGCTGAGGGCAGAACAGGGTCCAATATTTGGGAGTGTCAGACCAAGTGGTCAGAACAGAGGCCAATATGAGGGCCGCACTGCAACAGGCTGAACCTTCATAAAAGCCAACAACTTTATTCCAGATCAGGCCCAACCATCTCACCTCCCACATGGTTCCTAGGCAGATGTTGTCATTACTGGTCCCAGTGCTGTGTGGCTTGACCATCAGCCCCCAGCTGTAGAAACACTAGGGCGAATTCAAAGTTTCTCCCATCGCGCCTCCGGGTTCTCTCAGGTCAAGTTTTTCGTTTTCTTCGGCAATTACAGTACTTCTTCGCTGCTTGAGTTGCACCCAGGCCTGTTGCAAGCCTCACTGTCCGCAAATCCTGCAGCCGCTGTTTTTCCTCCTGGTTCCAGACCATCACCTCACGGTCCTCGGCGACCTATTTGGCTTTGAGCTCCATCAGGACTCCGTGTACCTTTTCCGACGTTGGCCAAACTGCAGCCTGAGTCTTACGGTACCCCCGGGAATGCTTGTTTAACATGGAGTCCGCACAGGGGCAAATTACAAAGAAACAAGGGCTTATTTATAAAACTGTAGTTAACAATATCCCATAGGTTTCACATCACCCATGTTTAACTTGCTTATTCATTAACCTGAGTCTCCACTGGAACCACCCATAGGTAGGTCACCAGGCATCGAACCTTAGACTTTTCCAGCAAGTGGTGACGGTAACAGGTCTTGGGGCCCTACGCGGAGCTACAGCAAACAGTAGGGCCAACACCTGGGCTACGAGCAGCACATTACTTACCCTTTCATTTACTGCTTCTTTTAAATACAAGTGTTCTTAATCCTTAACAATTACAGGTAGCAGGTATACACTGATTAGATATTGATCCTAAAACACCAACTTGAGTTGTGAATATTTGAGTTTATATCTATATATTTCCAGAACTGCATGTCCTGCCTTGCCTGATTACTGAGTTACTGAACTTCTGCTTCCTAGTTATCAGTTATCTGATCCCAACCCAAAATTGGTTACTGCCAGTATTCTCTATATGCTTAGTGCACAGTTCTCCTTAGGAAATCATAGGTGGCTCTGAAAAGAGCCTTTGGTTTGGATAAGGTTAAGTTGCTGCAAATTTACTTGCCCTTGGCCTTGTGGTGGCTTTCAGTTTTCTTTGGCAGCAGCACAGCCTGGATGTTGGGTAGAACACCACCCTGTGCGATAGTGACTTTGCCGAGTAACTTATTGAGCTCCTCGTCGTTACGGATAGCTAGTTGCAAGTGACGCGGAATAATTCGAGTTTTCTTGTTGTCACGGGCCGCGTTGCCAGCTAACTCCAGGATCTCTGCGGTTAGATACTCCAAGACAGCTGCTAAGTACACAGGAGCGCCAGCCCCAACACGCTCAGCATAGTTGCCTTTGCGAAGCAAGCGGTGAACACGGCCAACAGGAAACTGGAGACCAGCCCGAGAAGACCGAGTCTTTGCCTTAGCGCGAGCCTTTCCACCTTGCTTGCCACGTCCAGACATGATCTAAATGTCAACAGCGTCAGTCAATGATGACTGAGGTGAAGGTGCCAAAAGCGTCTTTTATAGACATTACTGGGCGCGAAAAGAACCCTGTGCTATTGGCTAAAATGTTGTTTTTCACTTAGACCAATGGAAACAAAATATTATAGAATGTGTATTTTGATTGGGTAAAAGTGGAATATGATGTCATCTTAGGAACTCACCAATAACCAAAGATGTCATCTTAGGAAATCACCAATAACCAAAGGACTTTACGCCTCTTTATTTGCATAAAGGACCTTCTTCCTACTCTGGTTTTTAACTTGCCATGTTTGCTCCAGCCCCTAATATGGGTTCCTAAAACACGGTACTAAAGAAAATACAAGATGTAAGGAGAGCGGTGTGTGGTGGTGGTTTTGTGCCGTGGAATCCGTACCAACTCATAGCGACCCTGTATGTGGATTATATACATTTATATACATATACTGTGAATATTTATGAGAACAGAAAATGTCATCTTTCTTCAGTGGAAGGGCTGGTAGTTTCAAACTGCTGACCTTGAGGTTAGTAGACCAACTCACAAAGCACTAAAAGTAGGTCTATCTGGACACAGGGATCACATGTTAGGAGGGCCAGGGGATCACAAACTCTTTCATGTACACCTTCGAGAATCGCCAGCGAGGCATTTCACAGGTGCATTACAAGCACTTGGCCATTGGCCACGAGAGGTACGCCTCTGCTCTGGCCAACGGCAAAGTATACACTAGGACTTGTGTAGACACTGAAACTCAGGCTAATCTCGCTTTGTGCATACCAGTTGGTTGTTTTATGGGTCTCTGGTTCAAATCAACCAGTCGCTGCCACACTAGGACCCCTAGTCCTTCCATGTCTTACAATTTTACTTAGACAAAGGCAGTCCTCCAGCTCCTTACAAAGATACTGTGGGTGGCCCTGAAAAGAGCCTTTTGGTAAATTGAAAAGCTGCAGGGCAGTTACTTCAACCGCCAAATCCGTAAAGGGTGCGGCCCTGGCGTTTCAGTGCGTAGACCACGTCCATAGCAGTAACTGTCTTCCGCTTGGCGTGTTCTGTGTAGGTGACGGCGTCCCGAATCACGTTCTCTAAGAACACTTTCAGTACCCCGCGGGTCTCCTCATAGATGAGGCCAGAGATGCGCTTCACGCCGCCACGGCGAGCCAGGCGCCGGATGGCGGGCTTAGTAATACCCTGGATATTATCACGGAGCACCTTACGGTGGCGCTTGGCGCCTCCTTTACCAAGACCTTTTCCGCCCTTACCACGCCCAGTCATGATGCTAAGAAGACAGTTCGAAGATCTGAAATAGGCATGTGAAAAGTGGCTGGCCTTTTATTTGGATCTAGCGGACCAAAGTGAAAACAGGAAGTCACAGGCGGGAAAGCTTAACAGTTTTAGCTCCGCCCCGTCGCCTGTTCCAAATTAGGTGGAGGACAGGCTGCGCGGAAGTGCTGAGGATCCTAGGTCACGTAGATTGTGAGGTGATTTTTCTGCTGAGAATGATTTAAACAAGGGACTGAGGTTGATCAATGAAAATGCGTCTCCGCTTGATGGTTTTAACGAAACTCACAGCCAAGGGTTGGGTTACGAATGGACTGGCTTCTGGTCCCAGTTCCTCCACTTGCTGTTTTAATAATATGTAGGTAATACCCACCCCACAGGCTTCTGTGCAAATGACGAAAAAGGGCAAATAAAACTCTGAAACAGACCTTTGCTTGTATCAGTCAACTCTTGCATGATAACTATTAATCCATTACTTAAGGCTTAGACTTACTATTTACTATATTCCTAGCACTGCTAGAAACTAGGCTACTTCTTGGCAAGTTTCATACTATAAAGAATCTGTTCTCAAATATTGGTAAAATACACATTTTAATAAATGTTTCAAGTCTATACATGTATATTGTTGTAGTTGTTATGTGCCGTGGAGTCGGCGCCGACTCAGTGACCCCTGTACAGGGTTTCCGAGGTTGTAAATCTTTATGGAAGCAGAAAGCCTCATCTTTCTCCCACGGAACAGCTGGTAGTTCCACTGCTGACCTTGCGGTTTGCAGCCCGATTGGTAACCACTACGTTACCAGAGCTCCTTTATACATGTTTATTAGCTAAGAACAAATGGCTTGATGGCAGAGTATAATAATTACACAGAACTATTGAACTGGAGATTCATTCACAACAATTTAGACCATATTTAATAACATGGTCTATAGAAGAGAGGGACATCTACATTATCAGAAATATAGAAGACATAGTGGAGGCTGTTGTGTGCTGTCATGTTGGTTCCAACTCATAGTTGACCCTGTATAGGGTTTCCAGTAGTGGCTGGTGGGTTTGAACTGTCAACCTTGTGGTTACAGTACCAGTGCTTTTCCTACAATGACATATCAGGACTCCAGTGACTATTGTTAAATTCTGTGGAGTCAAAGTCAGTTCCAACTCATAGGGATCCTGTATAGCGTCTCTGAGGAACTGCTGGTGGGTTTGCACTGCCAACCTTGTAGTTCGAAGTCCAGTGCCACACCAGGACTATTAACATCCCACAAATCCCTCCTTGTGATAGAATATCTGTTAACCAGTAACTTGACCATATTGACCATGTTTAAAGAATTCAAGAGAGACATGTCCAAGGTCAGTAAATCCATTCTATACTTCCTCCCTTTTCTCCTTAGAAAAAAATACCCACTGTAATGCTATAGCATTATTGGACTGCTAACCTCAAGATTGGAGTCCTGGTATGGCACTGTGGGTCAATACACTGGACTGCACAGTCAGTTTGAATCGCAAGCTCTGTGGTTCAAACTCACCAGCTGCTCCTCGGAAACCCTATATATACAGGATCACTATGGGTTGGAACCAACTTGACACCACTTAACAACAACAACCTCAGGGTAAGTGGTTCAAACCCTCCAGCTACTCCTTGGAAATCCTAGACAGGTTGCTGAATCAGAAGCAACTGGGTACAACACTAACAATAACATAACTAGCCTAAGACAGGCCTTCCTGTTTTTCTGAATCAAATGGTCTTCCTCTGTGCCTATAGATAGCTGTTAGAATAAGCTTTATATGTTTTAATTGCTTTTGTGCTTCAATGGTTTTGATCAGGCTAAATTCTGAAATGTATTCATTGGTATTATAAGAAAGGGCAGGTCTGAGTTCTGTTTTACACAGAGAAATAGAAAAGAGGCCTGGAGTATTTTATTTAATAACATGTAGCATGTAGCATGCTTCAGTGAGGTCTCTGGGTGGTAGAAATAGTTTATACTTGAAACTAACCTAAAGGTTAGTAGTTCAGAAGAACAGCTAAACAAAGACTTGACAATCTGCTTCTGTAAAAATTTAATTAGACTCTGAGACCATGGGGTCACCATGACTCACAATCATCTTTATAGCAAGATGATTTTAGTATACTTCAATATTTCATCTTCAATCATCCAGGAGAGCCTTCACTCAGATGTACAGATTGTCTTAATGTCAATAAGGGCATTCTTTGGTTCTTGTTACTTTCCTATATGTATTTAGAGAAGGCACATTGGTTTCTTTCACTAGCAAATGTCACCTTCTCATAATTGAACTTTTCAGTTTGTCTTAGGATATGTGTGCAAGAGATGAGTTATACCAAAGGTGTGCATAGAGTTTAAAGCTGGAAAATAGCCAGCTCAGTACCCTTAATAGTCTCCCCAGCCTGTGTTCATCTATGTTTCTGTGAATCTTGGTTGTATAAACTGGATGTGATAACGGAATCTTTCAAGCAGGGACTTTATTAGACTGCCTGCATCTGAAAAACATTCATGATAATAAAATTCAAGAATCATCATCAGACTAGAATTCACTGTATTCAATATACTGAGAGGGGTGCCTGGTCTAAGAACTGATCACAAATGACCAGTACCAGTAGATTCCCAACTTAGGGCAAACATCCCCCCACCCCACGCCCTTTGTGTCACAGTCAAATTGTATTCATGGAGCTGATTTTTCCAACGGACATCTCCAGACCACTCTGCCAAGGTGATTGTATCAGAAATTATTTTGGTGAAACAATCAAAATTAATTAAGTGGCCCGATTCCTAAGGATATTTCCATAAACCTTCAATGGCATTTTCACTCATTTCTCTTCACTCTTGATAGAATCATTTCTTAAGCAATCATACTACCATTCTCTCATGAATTTATTTTCTTTTGCTGTATGGTGGTAGTCATACAGCTCACTAATACTCTTCATGCTTCAGTTTTCTTTTTTCCAATATCCAAGCACGCCAAATGCACTCCCACACACATACCTGTTATTTAACTGTTGAATTTCACTTTATTTTATACAGGAAAAACACTAGAGACTTTTCTGCAACATACCAAAAACCCAACCAAACCCAACCCACCACCACCTAGTTGATTCTGAGTTATAGTGACCCTGTATAGGGTTTCTGAGGTTGTAAATCTTTACAAGAGCAGAAAGTCTCATCATGTATTTTTACTCAAATAACTCACAAGTTATGTGGTTTTTGCAAACTGTTGTGTGAACCCTTCATAGGTTAGTTACCTATACTCATTTATATATGTTATTGTTGTCAAGTACCGTCGAGTTGATTCCGACCCATAGCAACCCTGTATAGGAGCAGCTGGTGAGCTTGAACCACCAACCTTGCAGTTCAAATGGCTTTGCAGTCTGGTGCATTAACCCACAGTGCCACACCAGGACTCCTCATTTATATATATGTACCAGTTATTTACATTGATGCATTTTATGCTGCAAAGTACAGTACTTACCTCTTGGTGAAACTGCTTTAAAATAATCTTATCCATTTGATTTATGCTCAAATGACCAGTGCTATTTTTGTACTCTTGCTTCAAATTTTGGGAAATAACTTAATTTGACGTTTACAACACTTATTACCCAGTGACAGCCCTGAAAAGATTCACTTGTCTTTTAAAGAGGTTAACTCGCCAGTTTGTTGATTTGGTATCTTTATAGCTGTATGCACAAAAAGACTGCAGGCTCAGAAACTAAAACCACAGCTTTGCCATTTATAAAAACTATGCTAAAGGAAGAAAAGAAAAGGAATAAGAACTGGAGTCTTAACCAAGCAGATGAATACAACCTCTCATTCAGCAGCCCACAGATCTTCCTATCCCTCTGCAGTCAGTGAAGGTAAGAGTTAGAACTTTAAAGTATCAAGTCCCTAGTTCTTTGCTCCCCACCCCTACACAAAGATCTGGTTTTGCAAAAGGTGTGGCTCTCACCACTACAAAGAGATAAATATTTGGGTACTATGCAGTTACAAGTTAGTGACACTTGTACCCAGTTTCCTTATCTGAAATATTGAGGGGTAGTTGTTGGTAATGAATGAGAAAATATATGGGACAGGGGAATAATTAAACACCATGCTTCAAGGGAAGAGTAGAGAAATCATTGCAAAGGCCAGTTACAAGTCAGGAAAATCATTGTAGTGCTAGTGAGTTTACTTCTGTGAGTCAATCAGCTAGTATAAAGAACATTAATATATTTATTCATTAAAGATTGAACACCTATTACACACCAGGATTTATGATATTTTATATGGTACCATCCTAACATGGAGGCCAGGAGTCCTGGTATGGTGCTGCAGGATAAACACTGGACTGCAAGGTCAATTTGAACTGCAAGGTCCATGGTTCAAACTCACTAGCCACTACTCAGAAACCCTATACAAGGGCTGCTACGAGTCGGCACTTAACAATAACAACATAGAGTCCTGGTGTGGTGCTATAGGATAAGCCCTGGACCACAAGGTCAGTGGTTCAAACTCACCAGCTGCTCCTTGAAAACCCTATACAGGGTCTTTATGAGTCAGAACTGATTCAGTGGCAGTTAACAACAACAACATTTAACATTGAGGCTAAAGTCTCTGTTTTTGTGTTACAGAACACATGTGGGAAGCAAAGCAAACAATAAAAATATTTTTAAAAAATCTGTACTATGTTAATTATTAAGTGCCTTGCATAAAAATAAAGCCGAAAAATGAGTAGGAAATTGGGGGTTGAAATTTTTTAATAAAATAGATAAGGGCTCACTAAAGTGCCATTGGCATTTGTTGTTCGGTGCTATCAAATTGAGTCAAACTCATATCACACCCATGTGACTGTAGAGCTAGCTGTCCCATAGAGTTTTCTAGGGAGGGACCCTGGTGATGCAGTAGGTTAAACATCAGTCATTCTGGAGAAAGATGTGGCAATCTGCTTCCTTTAAGGTTTGCAGCCTTCAACGCCCTATGGAGCAATCCTTGGCCCATAGGGTTGTACTG